CACAATTCCGGTGGCAGGCTACATACACACAATTCCGGCGGCAGAAATGAGTGCATGCACACAAATAAAGTTGACACCTTAGCAAAGGTTGTTAACTTTAGGCATTTATACTTCTAGAATTGTCTATCACTTCACTTTGTTTTTTGTTGTTATTATATTGCGTATAAAATTAATGAGAAAACATATATACACATAATGTTAGCAATGCTGCCAGGGCATACAGAAATATTTTGTGCAAGGCATCAATAGAATAATTATTTTACTAACTCTACATAATACAAAGTAGAAAATAGGAGGAGATTCTCATACCTTGACGCATGCGCAATAGGAAGTTAGAAAGTAAATGGCGGTCACAACTGCTTTGAAAAATGTGTTTGTCGATTTTGTGCAACAATAAGCACTACCACTAGCCATATTACGCGTCTGTATGCTTGAGTCGTCACAACTAAACTGATGAACTCCACAGCTTAGAGATACTACTGCGCATGCGTCAAGGTGTCAGAATCTCCTCCGAGCGCAGCTGAGAATTAATTACAGCTTTGGAAGTAACTGGCTCGCGCTGCCAGTAATTACGCTGTGGGGTATTCAGGGCACAGACTGTGATCACAAGATACTGCCAATAGATTTTTAGAAAATAGATTTTTCATGTGAAAGAACCCTAAATTCACCATAGAAACCCCGCTCATCATTATCATGAATCATTGGTCAACCCATCTCTTGGATTTGGTGCAATATACCATTTTTCTCTATGTCAACTAGTTCTAACCAGCCATTTAGAGTGCATTCCCAGAGATTTAGATCGATCCCACTAGATCGACCTAACTACTTGGGGGGTTCACGTTAAATCAATGTCAGCCGAGCGTGCACTGTAGTTAATTACACCCTTACAGCTTTTAGTAAGCGGGACAGACGCTTAAGCTGGCTAAGCTGACAGTAATCTAGTGAGACTCCCCACAGGGCTAGGTCGATCTAAAATCTGTGGGAATGGGGTCTTAGACCAGCATGTCTTCTTGAGCATTTCAGGAGGAAATATCGACAATGGGAGTTTTATGGTTTTTGAGGTTTGATCTGGGAAAGTTAAGTAGCTTTGCAAATTGCAGGATATTTAGACATACAAAAATGACTTTAGGACATTTTCAAACATGTACAGTATAATACCCTTCATAAAATAAAAACTTGCTTTGAGGTTTAAAATAAGCCTTTGTACACCCAAGTTCTGTGGCAGAAATAGATTATGACAAAGGCACTAATCTATGCTACAAATTTACAGTCCATGTAAACAGATATATCCTAACTTGAAAAATGCTTGCTTGTTAAACCCATTTTGTGACTTTGGATCAATATCAACCCAATCAACAGAGTGTAAACGTTCCTTTAGTCAATGCCAGAGTTCTCGTTTCTCTTCATTCATAAAACTGCTACATTACACACAGGAAAACCCTCAATTTCTGAAGGGGAAAATGAGTACAAGTCACTGCTATTGCATTACATGATAAAAAACTTGAAAGGAATTTTTGGTGGTTTGCGTGTAATTACTCCTCACAATACTGTGCAGCCACAAATATTGTGAACACAGCTAGGTTGAGCTTTGTTTACATACGTTGCCTTTGACAAGGTATAATAGAAGATACATGTATGTCCACAAATATGAAATATCTCACTTATTCCAATTTAAATAATTTCTTTACAAGATCTATCATCAGTCTCAGTTGCTAACAAAAGGGAATCTTTTGGGTACACAGCCCTTCATAACTTTCAAATGTCTTTTTTTCACCTTTTATTCACAAAGTATTATACTAAGAAAACCAATAAACAGCTTTTGTACAAATTAAGGTATTTCCATACTGCATGTATAGAGGGAGCCACTGCAGCATCAATGGTACACTTGACCTCAAGAGAAGATAGAGTTGTTTCAGTGAATATGGCGCGGAAAATTGCATCCACAGGACTCGGGTACTGCCACCTTGACACTATATTCCGTAGAGATGGTGCTGATGCACTGGTGTCAATTTTGAAGGAGAACTTCAATGGGAAGCCAAGAGTTACTAAGGACAAAAAGACACTGCAGTCCCTTGTAAATTATTTTTGCAATAAGCACAAACAATGAGTGCTGTGAGTGCAATTTCATTGTTCTGAAATATATCAAAAAGTGAATTTCACGAA